AATCCCCTCCAATGTTTCAACCTTACTAGTGATCAACCTTTAGTTCGAATGTATGGGAGAATTTCTCTTCGTACTATGAATTATTTCAGTTCAATGAATTATTTCAGTTCAACTCCAAAAGGCCCGCGGAATATGTAATTCACGATGAAGAGAGTGTATCGAAGAATTCGCCTTCGTACTACGAATTATTTCATTCAACTCCAATACGAATTTACGAATTATTTCAGTTCAACTCCAAAAGGCACACGGAATATGTAATTCACCATCAACATTGGAATCAAAATTTATTCCATGAATTAATTAAATATGTTCAAGAAGCCTTTGCAATCTTCGGTGGTCAAACTTCAACATTTATTCGATGAATTAATTAAATATGTTCAAGAAGCCTTTGCAATCTCCGGTGGTCAAACTTAATGGTGGTCGAGGAAAGCTGGTCAAGTTTCACTATTTCTTCACTATCCTGTCGGTTTATCGAAGGCTAGTGGTCCCCGGAACTAGGAGCACACATCAGAAGGCCAAGAGCAGACAAGAGTAGACGAGTGCTCCAAGACTCCTCGTGAACAAAACATAGAGGGATGACAGATCATAAGTGTGAGTGAGAATACAAATGCTCTCACCTGCCCCGGCCGGAATGGATGCCAATGAAATAATTGTGTGAGTGCGAGACTTAGACTACTCTTATATTTTTATTTTTTTTTGTGTGCACTTAGACTACTCGTACATTGTGATTGTGAGTGGATAGAATTTGAGGAGAATAGTCCCATATTATATATCGAAATTACGATGATAAGATTTATGTAAGTGGAGTTGGATTGTTGTACAAAACAATCCGAGATTATTTTATGAGCAAACCTGGGCTTCGGATTAAATGTCGGGTCCAAATTAACTGAGAAGTAAACAAGAGATATATGGCCGTAAGACAGCTTATTATATCATATCCGTCGAGCATATTATATCATATCCGTCGAGCATATCATGTCATATCCGCCGAGGTAAACAGGCCCTAAATACTCAACTGCAAACTAAAAAGATATTTTAATAAAAAATCTAAAAACTGTTAAATATAGATACTCAAAATGAGATATTACAATCCTAAAATCCCCTATGTATAATTCTCGAATGTTGAGCCTAAGTAGTAGCGGGCTCGCGATCATGTATGACGAAATTTCATAGTTCGTCATTTGGCTTTGATAACTTTTAAGTTTGTTTAGTTAGGCTTGGAATTATCCATAAATATATTGATTTATGGCTATTTTTATGAGCATTAATTGTGTTTAAAAATAATTTCTTGTTTATAAGGAATGAAATTTTTATACTCAATCTTTCTTTTTCTTTCAATCTTTGATTTAATTATAATACACTTTACTAACTTAAGTTGTAAATATATTTTAAAAGTTAAGTTTTATATTTATTATCAATTTTTCATATATAATATATCAAATCACTCATCTCTTCGGTATTTCGTTTGACATCTATATCAATAGTTTCGTTTTGACATCTATATGATAAACTAAATAAATAATTATATCTATATTTACAAATAAAAGTTTTTTTTTTGTTGGTAATAAAAGTCAAATCATCTATTAATTTTAGTTGAAAAAATTAAAATTATTAATAAATTCAATAATTTTAATAACAAATTGGTTATATTAGTTATATGATATAAGTTAAAAGATATTATAATATGAACTAATTAAGTAATATATGTGATAGTGTCATTTTTTTAAAAAAAAATACTATTTAAATTTTAAAACATACTCCTTTCCATTACTTTTTAAAGTTATGTATATGATTTTTAACAAGCACGTATGTAATACACGCATAATGTACTAATTGTGTTTGTAATAAAGAAATTTATATTTAAAATTTAAAATAATAAAAAAATTGTTTAACTTTTCAACTATTTTTAGGAAAAATATATTACTATTTTTATTTAAAATAACACTCATCACTTGTACGACTTACTATTTTATATTATACTAATTTTTTAAAATTATATCATTTAACAACTTTGTGGATAAAATTAATTTAAATAATTTTATTTCTTAATTTACATTAATAGGTAATTTAATTTTTATTATAAAAATAAATATAATTATTTATTTATTTTATATGTACAATATAGGTGTCAAATCGAAGTTCATCAAGACATGATTAATTTGATATATTATGTATAAGAAGTTGATAATAAATAAAAGAAAATTATTAACTTTTAAATCTATTTATAATTTAAGTTACTATTTTTTTCATAATTTTAAAGGAAAGATGAGGAATAAGGAAATATTGAGGAAAAAAAAAATATACTTTATATATCACATCTACCTCTAGAATAGGAAATGTATCTAATTAATGCTCTTAAAAATGATCATAATATTCCAATCCTAATTATATTTTGATTGAGAGTAAATTAAAATTCATCCAAGCCTAATAAAGCATTAAAATTTGTCAATTTAGGATCCCTTAGGAGGATTACTTCTTTTTAAATTTAAGTATATCTATCTATATATATATAAAATAATAACTATTTACTAAAAATAAATAGCAGTAAAAAATATTGGGAGCATTTAATGCATGCCTTTGTTGTAAACTTTTTAAATGCATTAATTGCTTCCATATACACCATTTCAAATAAGATCAAATCAGATATGATAAAAAATATTGTTTCCTTAAATAATTTTGTTAGTATTTGCAACAATTTTATTAATATTCATTATAATAAATTACAAGATTAATTTTCAATGATTCATGTTGATTATATTTTGGTCAACATAAGTATTACAACATATTTTAAGTTCTAACCATAATATTAATTTTTTTTAAGTATTACAACATATTTTAAGTTCTAACCATAATATTAGTTTTTTTTTCACAAATATTCACTTTTTATCCAAAAATATTTATAGAAAATTTTAACAGAACTTTTTTTTTTCAATTAATCAGCCGAAATCAAGTTGGTGGATTAATCTTTGCCAATATAATTTCTTCTTAAGCTTTATTTTATTTCGTAATATATAAAAAATAAATTATTCTTTAAATTAATATAATTTACCGTTTCAGAGATAATTTATTTAATATAACTCAATTGATATAATTTACCATTAATATAATTTTTTCACAATTTAAAAAATATTTAATTGAGTTTGTAATACACGCATATTGTACTAATGGTCAAAAATTTAAATTGAGTTATATTAAATGTTCTTAAAATTTATTTGTATATTATTAGCAACTATGATTTTTTTTATCATTATTTTATTTTGATTTCTTTATATAATGAAATTCTTCTAAAATATATTTTCATTGCAGAGTATGATAAATAAACTATAAATTCTTATAATTTCTTATAATGCAAATTAGAAAAATCTTGATTATGGAAGGGATTGAGTTTTTGAAATTTGCTAAATCAAAGTTGTTTAACTAGTATACAAAATTAAATTCTAAAAAACATGTGTGTATATTTATTAAAATATTTATAAACTACTTAATTTTAAATTTATTTATATATTTTAAATTGATTACATAAATAAATAATACTAACGTGCATTAAATATTTTTCTTAAAAAAAAGACGTACAACTTCTATAAATTTTATAAATAATAATGACATTTATATGACAATTACAAAGTTTATAATAAACTAATAAGTAAGTATTATATTATGATCAAAATAAGTAAAAATGTTATTTTATCTTATATCAAGAAATAAATATATATACTAAAATCAAATTTATATTAGTATAATGTGTTAAAAATATAATATATTAATTATTTTATAAGTTAGCCTTAACATCCTCATATTTTATGTTATGGCTACAAAAATGACGCAAGGTGGAAAATAGATTATAACCCTATTGTTTTTTAAGATTAAAGGAGGTGAAAAATAGATGATAACCCTAATCAGACAAATGTTGATCAAATGAGGTGAAAAATAGATGATAGTCATTTTTAGACATAAAATAACTCATTTAATATCTTTATCTTTGTCTCAGGTACTAATTTAATGAATTAGAACTAAATCTTTAAGATTTTACTCAATTGGAAGGCGCATGTGAATCCAAAATCCCCAAAAAATAAGAAATAAAATAATTGGTACGATAAGAACAAATTCAACCAAACCTGGAGGAGATTCATGATCGTTTCCACGGTTGCCGTCTTATCCGGCCCGATTTCGTACGACCTTATCACAAACGACTGCCGGAAAACAGATTTGCCCTCTGCAAATCTCCCCAAAAGGTACTCGTGGTTCATCTGCGGATTTACTTCGCTTCTCGACAGACTATTTCGCTCCGGGATCGAGATTCCATCGACTTGAACTCCGTTCACTCTCTTCCCATGAGCTGTCTCGACGTTCGTCTTCGTCTCGGCCTTCAGCTCCATTCGCCTCGCGCTCGCCGCCCTGCAACCGCCGTGAAAACCGACGCGCTGGCGCGGCTTGCCAGCCGCGACGCGAAAATCGCCGCTTCTATTGATCTGCTGACTGAGGAGATCTTGCTTGGATAGCAATGAGCTGGGATTTTGTAGCAATGCCATCGTTGGTAATGATTTATCAACTCTCGATCTGGATTCACAACAAAGTATTGCTAATTTTAGTGTTTCGATGGCACAGAAGAAAAACAAAAAATGGCAATTTTTGGGTATTGATTTTCAGTTGTTTGGGAGCGAGACTGAAAGGGTTAAAATAAGCTTGAAAATTGCAAACCTAAGGTGTATTTGGGAGAAAATGGAGGTGAGGCGGAGAAATCGAGAGTTGTGCGGTTTGGCAAGCGTGAGACTGCGTGGGCAGATGCTAGTTGCCTATGTCTAAATCGATGCCAGTGTCGTTTACGTGGTGACAATTTCCACGCCCGTGAATGAAATGTGACGTGTGTATTTGTTTATAAATAAAATCAATACACGTTTAATTCATACTAGTACGTAAACCGTGCACGTAATAGAAATATTAAATGAGTTATTTTCACAGTCTCTGTTCGTTTAAAATTAAAATGTAATAGGGTTAACATCTATATTTTACCTCTTTTAATCAACGTTAAGTCTAAAATACAATAGGGTTATAATATCTTTTTCACTTTTTTTAATCAACATTGTTTTTTTAGCCATAACAGTAAATATGAGCATGTTGGGCTAGCTTGTAATATAATTAATATATTATCTCACTAACACCTTTATACTAATATAAATTTGATTTTAGTATATATATTTATTCCTTGATATAAAAGAAAATAACAGTTTTACTTATTCTTTGTTCACCAATCATAACAATTATATTAGCCAGTTTTTCTATTAGAAAAAAATTCTATTTTTATTTAATGAGCCGATTTTTTTTTATTAAAAAATAAAAAATGCCAAATATTTAAATCATATTCCGAATTTATTTTTTTATAAGTTTTAGAATCTGAGAAAAATAAAAAATTAACATGCAATAACGCTATGATATGTTTAAAAATGTATCAACTTTTTGTGAAAATATTTAAGGGCCAACCCGTGTTTTTTAAAAAACACGGGATTTTATGTATCAAATTAATGTACTGGTATGAATTTTTTAACAAACTAATGCTTAACAAACTAATGAAACAAACCCGTATTTTTTGGTCATCTAATGCAACAAACTCCACATGGTATGGACTGCATTTAATATTGTGTTTAAAAAAATATTAATTGCCATTAATGGCAAGTCATTAATGATAAGAGGCTTTGATTATAGATTTGACTTGCTATTTTTTGTAAATAGTAATTCTTATTATATATATATAAACTAACAATTTATCTTACTAGTATTTGATCGTGTGCATTTGCACAAATATAAAAAATATTTATATTTGTATTTATTAATTAGACGTACTTCTATCATATAAAAATTATTAATTTTTCTTAAGTTATTTTTATCTTTCAAAATTAATTGAGATGTAAATTTTATTTTAACCATGCAACGTTTACATTAGTAATATGAATAAAATAATTCACATATTTGTGGCATATATTAAGAAAATTAACATAAATAAAAAAAATTATTGGTGTTTCTAATTTTTAGAAGAAAAAAAAATATGTGTCAATCGTATTTTTCTTCCAACAATGCAACCAAATATAGCGGATTACAGCTCTGAATGTGCCAATCAACTTTAAGTTCCAACATTAGCCACCATTACATATTTGAATATTTTGCTACCAAATTTAGAATTAATTTAGTAACTGATCCAAAAAATAAATAATAAAAATATATATATTGATGTGTAACGGTTTTAGCAGATTAGTGAGTAATTAACTAAAAAAATGTAACTCCTTTTGGAGGGAAATGAAAATAGGTTTTATTAAATGTTTTATTAAATACATCACTTAGTAACTATATATATATATATATATATATAGATGCACATGTACATATATAAATATAAATAAAGTGTTATAATATATATATATATATATATATATGCTAGTATTTGATCTTGTGCACTTGTACAAATATTAATAAAGTATTATAAATAATTTGTATACATATAATATTAAAATTATAAGTTAGATAATGGTATTATATTTTAAACATAAAGTATTATAAGTTGGATTTATGCATGTAAAATTAAAATAATAAGTTTGATAATGTTGTTATGTTTTAAAATTTGATCATTGGTTAAAATAAATAGTAAATAACCATTTGATTGTATATGAATCAATATAATGATTGCATAAAATATAATAAAGAATTACTTTTTGTATCTTTAAGAGATTATGACCAATTAATTAGGTGAAAAATATTAAATTGCTTATGCGATTCAAAGAAATTTTACTATGACATTAAAAAAAATTAATTTATTTAAAAAATAATCAGATAGAAAAATTAATATTGATTTTAGAATAAATAACTTGAACAAAAAGTTTTTACAATATAATTTTTTATGTTTATGTATTTTTCATATATCATTTAGTGTAAAATATAATTATTAATTTTAATAATAATTAATATATGATACAATAAAAAATATAATTATTATTTTATCATTAATGGGATAAGGTAGATTAATGTAATAATAATTATAATAATAATTAGATTGTAATTGTTTTTGTGTTAAGAAAGTTGCCACATAGGTAAAATTTATGAGGTAAAATTTAATGTTCAGCTAGAAGTTACACACACACACACAGACACACACACACACACACATATATATATAATATTATAGATTATAAATTAGTAATTGATATATCCCATTTTACAAATTTGATCATGAGTAAATGAACAATATAATATACACTACTTAACTATAAATGAATCACTATTATTGATTGCATAAAATATAATAGATAATGTAATTTTTGTAATATTGAGCCATCATGGTCAATTAATAAATTAGAAAAATAATAAATTATTATTATTATTATTATTATTATTATTATTATTATAATAATAATTATTATTATTATTATTATTACTATTGAAATCATTATTTTACGCTTTTGTAATTTTCATATACCACTTAGTGTGAATTTTAATTAATTGATTTTTGTAATAACCATTATACTATAGAGTAATTAATAAAATATGATAACACTTTATGAGTAACAATTTTACTATAAGTAACTTAGAAAATAGGCGGAAATTTGTTTCTTTTGCATTAATGAATAGCCTAGCATTATATAGATATAGATTTTAAGTCTAATTTAATTTTGATTCAATTTCACTATTTTTAACATTATCAATATAATTAAGTAATAACAATTAATCATTATTACATATCATATCAACTTTAATTCACTATTCATTCACTCACATAATTATTATTTTAACTAATCATCACTTCATATCACATCCTCCTACTTTTACATTAAATCAACTTTAATTATTTTATTTTAAATATTATTTTAAAATTGATATAGAATATTATATTAGACCGGTTTTAATGGATAAAAAAGAATATATTGGATAATAAGTCTACACATGGGCTAGGACACATGGCATAATGATATTGGTCAAGTCCAACTTGGGCACTAAGGTACAGCCCCCCTATAAAAGGGGGAGCTAAGGTATCCCAAAACCTCATTCTGTCTACATTCATTAATATGTTGTCATATTACACTCTTTATCTTTGGCAAGTGCTGACTTAGGCATTGGAGGCTTAACGTCAGGACCCCTTCTGGCGTTGAGTTTCTGCAGGTACAGAGACCATCTGAGTTGAAGGAGCCCGAATGAAGTCCATTTCATTAACATTGGCGTCGTCTGTGAGACACGTTCAAAAAGTCAAAAATCGACTATGGCAAACGGAGTTCCGACCGAAAAATTCCAGAAATTGTTAAGCACCTCCTTCATCTCCAGTGGCCGCCACCTCCGCCGCCGGCCGCAATGATCCGATCGGAAAAATTTTTACGTCACCGGGTAGATCACATCGAGGTGATTCTCCCCTTAAAATTTAATGCGATAATTCCACCGGGAAGGCCTTCAATTTTTCCGATCAAACATTCCGGATCTAGTGAATTTTGGTCAACATTCGACCTTCAAATCTATTTTCCCGGTGATCCGTGATGGCTACCAAAAATCCGAGAGCATCGTTAGAATCCTCTCGTGGAAGTGAGTCTACAGAACCTATTCGTCACCGGCCGCCGCCACCGGCCAAAGTCCTCCGATCAGCAAATTTTTTACATCATCACGAAGCTCTTATTGTGCTCCTCATACTCTTAAAATTTCAAGCAAAAATTTCACCGGGAAGGCCGTCAATTTTGCCGGTCAAAATTCTTGGATCTAGAACATTTTGGTCAAACTCCGGTCATCTTCTCCAATTTTTCGGCGATTTTTTATGAACCAATTCAAACCGAGGGCACCATCGGTATCTCCTCATCGAGACGCACTCTCGACCTCTACTTTTGCCGGAACTAGAGATATTTTCTAGCTGCATTTTTCCGATTATTCGCCAGAATCAAGCGTGGGTGGCGACATGCAGATCTGCGAGCGGCTCGACGCCGAGGAGGCCCAGCAGCCCGACGCAACGCTAGGCCCAAAGCGAGGCCTAGGCATCCATCCCAGTCGTCCGCAACCCATGAGATAATACCAGCGACATCATGTGCGGTCCAAGTCGCATTCGGCCCATTGGAATAGAAGGCAACAACACGCGGGCCAGTTCTCAATCCGCGCAGCCCGACTCCAGCCCACGTTCGGCCCGCGTGAGCCCGCCCCTCAACCCATAGCTCCAGGCCGCGGGAACCCCATTTTCTACAGTCCACTTCCTCGGCCCAGCACCATGTATTCGCGGCTCAACGAGAAAATTCAGCCTAAGTCGTAATCCATTTGAGGGAAACAACCACCAGACCAGTCTAGAGGGTCCAACAGCGGCCCAAATCGGTCCATCTCGGTCCTGCAGCCCGTTTCGAGACCAAGTCTATTTCTGGACGATTCAACGTGGATGGAGAGGTAAATTTAGGTAACATTATCGTGATGGAAGTATGTGGTTAATTTAAGTTATTTGACCAAATGATTTTTAAATTGGTGAGAATGGCAAAATTATTCGGTTTATTCATTGAAAAATTGGTTTATCCGGTGCATTTGGAGAGGCAGACTATTTTTTATATCGCATTAATTAAATAAGTTTGGTTGAAAATAATGTAGATTGTAGTTTCAAATTGAGGATATTTCGTAATTGTGCTTGTCCTGTATTTGGTGCGTTTATTATTGGTGAACTCAAAGAGCTTGTATGGATTTAAATTAATGAGCTTGGTATTAGGAGCAAATCATACTTGAATTTTCATTGGTGGGCAAGTGGTTTGAATTTAGGTGTTTTGCGAGTAATCTTTTTTTTTTTTCCCGAAACGATAGATTATATTATAAATCAAAATGCACAAATGTGCGAATACACAGCAGCCAACGGCTGAATAAACAGCAGTCAACAACTGAAAAAGTGGGAGGACAGGTCAGAAGACCGCCTAGAGTCCCGGCTAGCAAAGCTAGAAAAACTCGCAACGAAAACTAACCAACTAAAACAACTAAAACAACTAACAACAACTAAAAAGACCCCAACGGAGTAATACCCGAGTGTCGGATCCCAATGGGATAATAAGGTGACACTCGGGTTCACAAAGGCCAAAAGGCCCATACCAAAAACACAATCACAAAACAAAGAAACCAAACTACAAAACAAACACTGAAAAGAAATAAAACACACGAGCCCTCCCTCTACAGCAAATCCTATCCTGACCAGCAGCCACCAAATCAACCCGGGGGGATTCAACAGTATGAGAAGAGCGACCCCTCCACTGCCAAATTGCTTAGCTGAATCGAAACTCATACCACGAATCCCACCCAAAGCTAATTCCCCCAACGCCATAAAACATCGAGAAGCTCCCCACACCGTAAATCCGAGCCCCCTAACACCACTAGCAGACTCTGATAGTACAGTGAGCCCCCCGGGACATAGAGAACCAGGGGAAGAGAACCAGGCTCAATGCCTCAGCCACAGCCCCACCCACCCTAAGTCACAAAGACACCTCGGCCACAAACGAACCCGAACCCAAACCAACCCTGCCTCCCCACAATAAGCCGCAGCCACCAAGCTCGTCCACACTTCGGGGAGAACAGAGAAAGACAGAGCACACCAGTCGCAGACAAAAGAGAGCCGAGACAAGAACGACAAGAGAAGGAGACTTACCCTCAATCGAGACCGGCAAACCCAAATTCCGACCAGTCTTCAATCAAAAGCTCGCCCCCTACAATCACCAGTCCGCCGGCGAAAAGGAGCAGTGCAGACCGACAGGCCCCATCCCACCTCGGCGACCGGAAGAGACGAGCCCAGAAGCCGTCCAAACCGTTGAAGGCGAGTTCGGAGAGAGGCCGCCTGAGGAGCCAAGGACCTCCGACTAAGGAAGGCGAATAGTCGGAGCCGAGCCCGGCCCTTACCCATCTCACCGCGACATATGAACCCTCCACCGCACCAAGAAGTCCGGCAATCGCAAACCCTAGCCCACCTATCGGAGAAGGCGAGCCTGATTTGGCGACCACCAAAACCACCGATACCCGTAGCGAGCAGTGTCGCAGCAACTGGGACGGGCCGGCCGGCGAGGGACGACTACCAGCAAAACGGAAATCCGAGAGGAAGGCGACGGGGATTGATTTTAATCGGCGAGAATTGGGGACGTTTTTTAGAGAGAGAAACTTTTTTGTTTTGCGAGTAATCTGGAAGTGCGATTTAATTTTATTTTTTGTGGTATTGGTGTGTGGTCGAAATTTGTGCATTCGTTTAATGGTTGTTTGAATCTGCGGAGTTTGGTTAGTTATAATTTTTCATGGAATTCATGATTCTGTGAAATTTTGGTCTAATGTATTGTGGTAAAGAGACTTGTTTGTAGACTGGGGTGTGGTATAAAAGTGTGTGGACCAATTTGACTGCTTTGATTTGTTCATCTCTTGTTCTTATTGCTATCGGAATTGCAAATTGTATGATGTGGATAAAATACGACTAATGGCATTTTTTTAATTTTTACTGAGGAATATACATGAGCTTGTGAACTGGATATTTATACACACTGCTTAGTTACGGTGAGGAGTCGACAACAAAGAGTAAGCAGCAACTCAGGTCGTCTTGTACAAATAGGAAAGGGAGGTAAAAAAATATGTTTGATTTTTTTTTCTTGTTTGATATAGTTATACGCATTCGGTGACACTGATGAAATTGATCGATTACTATTCTATCTTGTTGTGTTTGGTATGTTTCTATTTGACCTCAGTGGCAGGTTAAAGTGTTTGAGCTGTTCGAAAAAAAAAAAAATCCACCATGACTAAGGCATTCGGGTTGGGTGGTCGTTTGTTTTGGTACATCTCTTTTGGGGTGGGCATGTGTCTGAAGACAAAAAATTCACCATGACTAAGGTCGAAAGGCTGGGTGGTCGCTTGTTTTGAATATTCTTTTAGGGGTGGGAAAGTGGTCGAAAATAGTCCACGCCTTCGGGCTAGATGACCGTTTGTTTTGAACATTCCTTTAGGGGTAGACAAGTGGTAGAAGACAAAAATCCACCATAATGTTGGTGAAGGGACTTCACCCGGGCTCCTTCAACTTGAACGACCTCCGCACCTGCAAGAGCCAGCGCTGGGTGGGGGTCCCGTTGTTGGGCCTTCAATGCATAAGTCAGCACTCCTTCCAAAATTGAGAGTGTAGTAATGAATAAAGAGAGAATGAGTGAATAAAATACCTTACCTCCTTTTATAGGGGGAGTGTACCTTAGGACCCAAGTTGAGCTTGACTAATACAATTATGCCATGTGTCTTAGCCCATGTGTAAGCTTATTCTCCAATATATTTTTTTATCCATTAAAACCGGTCTAGTATAATATCTCATATTAGTACGAAAACTGCGTCGTTTTTTAGAGGGCGACGTGGCTTAATGAGAAGAGAAGGGACACGTGTTAATAAATAAAAGTAGGGCTTCTTTTTTATACATAAGAGAATAAGATATTAATACGATATATTATTGTTAAAATATGACAATGTCACTATTAAAAAATAAAAAATTATATTGTACCAAAAAAAAAATTATTTTATGCATTCATAGTGTATATCTCCCCACAAAGACAAAGTCATTGTATAAATTTATGTTTTGGCGCAGTCATCCGATCACAAAGTGCGCCCAACATTTTTAACAATAATTTCATCGAAATTTTTTAAAAATCTCGGCTCCAAATGTACCCGCCTTTCGACCCAAATATCCAAATCCTGCCCTAAATTCTTTCAATCCCAACTCACTTTATTTGCTCGGAAAATTTTCCGTATATATCCGCTCACCGAAAATTTTTCTCTACTGCCGTAATCACATCATAATTCCTCCCAAAATCCTAGGGTTCGCCGCGCACGCTCTGCTGTCCCCGCGCCCAGATTAGGGTTTTAGGCGCTGCCGTTGAATCTCGTGGTTTATCTATGGCCTCAGAGAAGGACACCAAGACTGAAGCTGCGAAGCAGGAGGAGGAGGAGGATCTATCGGAGGTGGGAGAAGATGGTGGTGAAGTGAAATCGGACGAGGCTGGAGAAGAGGAGGAGGCAGAAGAACCAGAGGAAGATGAAAATGCTGAGGAAAAAAATGAAGTGAAAGAGGAAACGGAGGTGGAGGAAGAGGAGGCGGATGAGGGCAAAGGCGAGGATGGAGAAGACGAATCAGATGAGGAGAAGACTGAGAAAAGTAAAAAGAAGAGAAAGACGAAAGGCGATACTGTTAAGTTGAAATCGCCCCAGACGCCCGGGAGCGAGAGGCCCACGAGGGAGAGGAAAATGGTGGAGAGATTTAAGGTGTACGATACCCCAAAGAGCTCTGCCAGTAAGCCCATCTCCATTGAGAAGGTAAGTTGTGATGTTTCATTCTTGTTGGCACAATCATTGTATGAAATTGGGGTTGAGATGGTACGAAGGGGAAATGGTAAAGGGAGTACTTTTCCACTGTCTTTGTTTTGAACAAACATGTATATATGTTTCTCTGGTATGAAATTTTTTATGGTCAAATGTAGATGGCTCGAATGGTCTTAGAATAGTTATGATCATTGACTGGCCGGCCTGGTTTGCTGGTCAGTGGCTTTTGTTCTTATTTTTTTGACTTTAGTGTATGATAAAAGGAAATCTTCTGCTATGTTTGGACTTTTGGTTTTGGAATAAAATGAGATGTCAATTATACAGTTCTCAACTGCTATGTTGGGGGTTTTCCATTCGTGTGTATTGGAGTGTGTGGATAGAGAATGAATACAAAATTAGAGAGAAAGTGGAGATCATATTTCTTTGCTTTGTTTTCAGAATAATTTATAGGTATATACATTGCATAGGTAAAGTATGCATGCCTATTGGGTTTATCCCTTTAAATTGGTGCTTTTGTTTCAAATGGAGAAAATTTGTGCCTCAAATTATATTATGTACATTGTTGATGAATGAAAGATGTCATTTTGTGTTGAATGTTTTATTGTTCATTTACATCCCTTTCTCTGGGTGGAGTTGGAGTCGGGGTTATTTGGGATTCTGACCAATACATTTATTGAATCTATAATAACAGGGTCAAGGCACACAGCTTAAGGATATCCCTAATGGTATGCTCTTTCCTTTTCACTATATTGTTCATGCTGCTTTTCACTGTCTTGTCACATTTGGTTTTCTGAAGTTTGCTTATGTTGTAGTGACAGCGGTTTGATTAGTGAATATATGTTTGTTGAGATAACTGCTTTACTTCTGCTTGTGGTAGATTTTGATAGGATCATATCAAATATTATGAGTATATGCACTTTGATACATTTTTACTGCATCATGTGCCGTTCTATACTGTTGCGTTTGTCAAAGTCCATGCTTTGTTTACAAGTTCAACAAAGTCTGCAATAGTAGCAGTTTGCCAATTACACAGATCCACTAGAAACCATGAGCTTGTATTTCTAGTTTTACCAGTCACTCTTTATGAGGGTGTTTTACTGTGATATCAATATCATGGTTGTTCTCTGGACCTCTCAAATTACTAGGTACTTAGACACCTCTCATCGCCAATCCCTCTATAACTATTAACGAAAAAAAAAAACAATTACAGATAATGATAGAGTTGTTATTATTATTATTTTTTTTAACGTATATTAGAAGTATATGTATGTGATTTCCGTCATAATACCGAAGTATTATAGTAAAAGCAACATATCACGGGGGATTTCTGTTGTAGGGCAAATATATGCTTTAGCTGATAGCTGATATCTGGATACATGTGTAGGAGAATATTTTGTTTTTTCAATCCATGCATTTTTCATTGCTTGTGCTGGCATATTGATTCTGTATTGATAAAAAGTGAAGTAAGTTTGTAGTATGATTGCTAAAGTAACCCCATTGGCTGTGATCTTATGATTTGTTCAGTGGCTTTCAAGTTGTCCAAGAGAAAAGGTGATGAGAATCTGCAGCTTCTTCACACCATTCTTTATGGAAAGAAAGCAAAGGTCCTCTTTCTGCATTTATTTTAAAATATCATTTTATTTGTTGATTTTAAGCATTTTTTTTTGGTCTTCTTATGTTCATATTTCTTTCAGGTGCACACACTGAAGAAAAATATTGGCCTCTTCTCTGGTTTTGTGTGGGCTGAGAATGAGGTAATTGCATTCTTTATTACTCATTTTTGAGGTTTTGCCACAGGTTTATGGTTAGTCATAACTCATGAATATTATTTTTTTTCTTGATTCAAGATTCTCAATATACATATATATATACATACATACACATATATATATACATATATATAGATACACACACATATATATATATATACATATATATATATATATATATATATGAAAATCCTAGTATTTGGTGGTAAGTTTCTTTCAATTATCTTACTACAAAGGTATGAGTATTTCCATCTAGGTAACCACTTTTTAGTGAAGTGAATTCCTACTTTATACTTCACAGCAACCTCGATGTGCTCATTAATTTGTATGCATTCTCACTCTGACGCTATTAGATATCTGTATCCATTCTGGCTCTGACTCTATAGATGTCAATGTCTTTTCTATATGTCCTAAAAATGCCCTTATTTAATTTTTTGATATTCTAAACAAAATACAAAAACAGAACCTTTGAATGGGGAGTGCTTGGTATTTGAAAATGAGTCTGGGACTGGGACCATGGTTCACCTAGGTGAGGTTATTTTGTCTGAATCGTTTTTTGTTTTGTGTTTAAAACAACAATATTTGATTGGTTAGCTACCAAGGAGGCCAAAAATTGTGCCTTAGTGCCCTTGGTGGCCAAAAATCCTGAATCAATTGACAAGAAAAAAAAAAAGATGAAAGCAAATCTTACAGTTGTCTAGGTGGCCTCTGTTGCGATTTCTGCAAGTTGGGATTTCCTGGAGAGGAGCATATAGATGAGTCAGAGTTGATTTAGGGATTGTCAGGAAACATGATAGCACTTGCATCGTAATGCACCCTGTGACACTTGCATTCTCTAATTTAGTGTTAGGAAGAGATATTTTTCTTTTTTTTTTCAACATTGTTTGCGTTTTTCAGTTTAATATTAGACTGGTGGTATTTGTTTACAAATCACTGATAATTACTTGTGGTTGTTGCTGGAAAACTGGTCTCTAATCTGGCAAGTCTGGGTCTCATCTAAGTGTTCTCAACTACTACTTCTGACTTGACATTGCTTTGCCAAGAACTATTTACTGAATGATGTGAATGACTGGTGTCTTTTTACCATCTGGCAGTTTCTCACAAACTTGTTACATCTTTAAGAAAATGTGCCACCATTTTCCATTTTCTCACTGTTGTCTGCCAGTTTATTTATTGGACCTGGTCCACATTATACTAATTTTTGTAAAATTTATCTATATGGTTAGATTCCACTTTTTCGTTCCCTGCATATCTTAGCAGGAAAAACAGAAGGCTAAAACCAAGGAGAAAATTGACAAATGCGTAAAAGAGAAGTTATTGGACTTTTGTGATGTTCTTAACATTTCAGTTAATAAAGCTACTATGAAGAAGGTAATTTTTTAACATTATTCTACTTGGAACTTGTAAAGGATCTATATTCACCAATAAATTATTCAGGAAGAGCTTGTTGTAAAATTATTGGAGTTCTTGGAGTCACCTCATGCTACAACTGACACTTTGCTTGCTGACAAGGAAAAGGTAAATATATTTTTGATTGTTACTGCTCGTTAATTAATCTTAAACGTGCCTTTAACCATAACTGTTGAATGTTTGCACCTGAAATTTAAATTTAAAGGGAAAGAAACGGAAGAGTAAGGGCCCAACCAGCAAAAGCCCAAGTTCTCACGTGGCTGGAGGGAAATCCACAAAGGTTAGGTTCCTCTCTCTCTCTCTCTCTCTTTCTATATATATAGATATTACTTCACCATGGCTAAATCAATGGATCAGTGTGGAATGTGATCAGCAGTTTTTTGTTATTAAGTGGCTATGCTTAATCGCTCTCCCTCTCTCACTGTTATTGACTCCACAGGCGTGTTACTTTTTCAATTTCATTCTCATTCTCCTGATTTATGTTTTCTGCATTGCCTTATTCTATATGCTAAAGGGTCATGTGTAGGAATATTGAGAAGTATATACATAAAGCTTCCACATCTATCATGTTGCCTTTTGCTTTTGTGATGTTATAATCTTCTGTTTTATTTTTGTCATGCCCAGATGGAGGGTAGGGGCTCAATTAAATTTTATAGGTGGTGAAATAGAGATAGGTTTTGCTTCTTCCAAAGCAAGAATTGTTAAAATATGTGTTGTTTCGCTAGTAAATGTGTCTTGACCTTTTGTTCAGAGAAATATGAAATACCCATTTGTTTGTATCCCTCCATTTTATCCTTCCGAATTAGCTTGAAGTTGCTCACTGTGTTGATATCTGCCCATAGAAACAAAAATTGGATTCTGATTCTGGTAAGAAGCCGAAGAGTCCCACTGAGGAAGAAGATGATGATAAAAGTGAACATTCACTTAGTGAAGATTATAAGGATGATCAAAAATCAGTTCCCGAAGCAGAAAGTGATCATGAAGATAATGTTGTAGAAGACGAGGCAGATGAAGATGAAGACGAACCCAAGAAGCAGAAGTCGATTGAGAAGGTTTCCTCTAAGAAAAGTGCAAAGAAAGATACTGGTAAGGGTTCTGTCAAGTCCAAGTCAACTGCTAAAGGAAGCCCACAAGAATCTTCAAAAGCATCAGGCAAATCTAATCATAAATCTACCAGTGCTGTATCTGAAAAAAAGAGTAAACTGAAGGCTGAATCCAATAAGAAGCAAAAAGTTGACAAGGAAAGTGAGAAGGATACTAAAGGTACATCTTCAAGCAAGAAAAAGTCCAAGTCCTCGACGAAGGTTTCCGAAAATGATCAAGGTATCGGCTAAATTGGTCCGTGTAACCTCATTTTTATAATATTCTGAGTTTGCTTTGAATAACAAAATGGTAGTCAAACAAATCGGCCATTGTGATTAAAGGAAAACAAATAAATTTAGTTAAATTATTTCCTTTAATTGCAAATTATGTTCTTGCTATGTCAATGTGCTGGTAAGTGAACCTTTTGTTTTATAAGTTTAACTTCTCTATGATATGCGTCAAGGGTGGAAAGTAATTTTGCTTGGTGTTGATTGTCATCTTGCATGATTCTCGACTTTAATAGATGATGGAGAAAGTAGTGATAAAGAAGTAAAAGAGCCCAGCAGAGAAGAGATGCATGCTGCAGTAGTGGATATACTGAAGGAAGTGGATTTTAACACAGTAAGTGTACCCCTATATAATTTATTGGTTTTTGTTTGTCTTGAATTCTTCTATTTACAAATTTTTCTTTGGACCCTTGAAATGCAGGCAACATTGTCTGACATTCTCAAACAGCTAGGTACGAAAATACTATCTGATAATTTCTACTACTGTAAGAAGTTTGTTTTACTGTATGAGTGTAATTCTCTTACCAAACTGTCAATGTTGAATGATAAATCAGGAAAGCACTTTGGGGTAGATCTCATCCATAGAAAAACAGAAGTTAAAGACATAATCACGGAAGTGATAAAAAGCATGTCGGATGATGAAGATGATGAGTCTGGTAATGAATCGGGTAAAGATGAGGATTATTAGATTTACCAAGATCTTATTCTACCTACAATTGGTGGTCCACAATTTGCTGTGGTTTGGTATAACTTCTTAACTTAACTAGTGAGTGCATCTGAGATTGGTCATGTGATCTTGAACGGTTTGCCCTAATAGGGCCGTATTATAAAACAATTCTTGGTTTTATAGGTGGCATTTAAATTTCTCATGTAGCTGTACTCTGTAGAATTTGCTTTGAGAATTTTCTGAGATGATTTGCAGAAACTAGGAAAATATATACTCTGTAATAAAAATGTGCCAATTTGGTTAGACCTTCTCTTTGTGCCATCAATAGTTTTCTTTGTGTAAATGATTTGAGGAAAGTCTTCACTTCAGGGCCAAACTTGAAGAGATGATAAAAGCGAACTTGGATATAAACATGGTGTTTGTTGTGGGTTCTGTTAGGTCTTTATTCTTTTAAAAGATTAATGCAATGGTTCTGTTAAATTTTAATTGCTTACTCAAATTATGAAATCAAATGGAAGTAATAGAATATGGAATTTTGTACCAAAAAACTGGTTCTTAATATTTCGGTTTGTTAGATATATAGGAGCATTCAAAGGTCGAACAAAACCATATATATACTGTCTTTTACCAGGTTTGTACTTCCCATTTGGTTAGTTTATGCATCTCTTGAATTGAACTGGGTCCATTGGACTATTAAAAAGATGGAAACTGATTTCCTATTTAAAATTATGTTCAAATCCTTGTTACATTTTGTTAGCTGTATATGTATAATTGGGATATAACTAGGGGCGTGTCATTTTTTAATGGAATTAAACATGAATTAAAACATTATTTTGGAATGAAAAATGAAATAAAACATGATTTTAGAACACGAGATTTTGTACTTGTGATGATATTCATACGCGTATCAAATTTTGGCTCTTAGTTCCCAAACAAAAGTTTGCCATCTGTTATATGAATGAATACAAGTTTTTTCTTAAATATTAATTTAATATTTTTTATACTCATGCATATATTATTTTCCATAAAAACGGTAAAGTACTAATATATATATTTTTCATAAAAATTGTAAAGTACTAATATATATATATAAAGTGAGTTACAAACGAAGCGAAGCATGAAAATTGTCTTCTTTCTTGTATGACCTGTACCGACTTGATAGCCCAGGTGAGGCAAGCAAGGGAAAATTCTCGTAGTCCTCCATAAAGGAAAGATTCTAAAATTGTGTTTTTCAAAATTTTAATCGTAGTAAACTTATTTTTCACAAATGATTTTGAACATATCAGAATTAATTAAATAATTTTCGTAAACTTGTTTGTTAAAATTATTTCTAACTTAATAATTAAGCAAACAAGCTCAAATATAAACTTTTATTCAAATAATAAACAAATAAACATGAATAATGTTTGAACATAATTGAAATGACCTGCTCAAACTTCGTAATTCGATTTAATTACAACNTAGTACAACCAAAATTGCCAACTAGCCAAACAACCTTCTACAAAGAATACTAAGAGGAACATAACAAAGTGCCATAAATTACAACTACACAAAACAAGGATGTTGGATTGTTCCCGGAAAGGACTAAGCCAAGCAACCGATAACAATTTCACATCCTTGGGTTCAATCCAGTAGCAACTGGTGAAGAGCACAACAAAAGGAAGTGGTGCCACTGCATCTGAAACGCCCAGCTCCACAACCACAAATCCATTAATGATCCTATCACTGCAATTATTGAGAGCACCTATCAATATTTAAGAATACAACCGATGGTCCAGTTATTTGAAGGATAAAGTTATACTAGCCGTAATGTTAGAGGTGGTTGACTCTATAAATGAGTACATGACATCTTTGAACGTGACCGATGGTCAAACATACTTGAGCTCTGATAGTACGTGCAGATCTGATTCCAATAATGATTTTTGTCGGATCCCACAATCTCGAGTTTTCGAATACTATCAGTTACTCTGGAGTGTCGAACCATGAGCTGAATCTTAAGATAGGAACCATAACCATGTTGTTGCAGAACATTGACCATGGGGTTGTGTAATGATACGATATTGGTTGTCACAAAGCTCTTCACTCATGTGCTTGAATGTAAGGCATTGACTGATCTAATGCAGGAGAGAAGGTGTAGATACCTCGGATGACTCTAACACTTTCCGACGTTAGAATACCTTTCAAATTTCAGCGGAAGCAGTTTCCCCTAATGATTTCTTATGACATGACAATTAACAAGAGTAGAGTGAGTCAGTTTTTATCACATGTTGACATGTTTTTGAAGAAGCCGATGTTAAATCACGACCAGTTGTATGTAGCTGTTTCCCGTGTCTCTAATCGCAAGTGCTTGAAAATATTACTTTGCGGGGAGGATGTTGTGCATGCAAAAAATAATGTTTACAAGGAGGGTTTTAACAATAATAAATATTATTTATTGTTCTATTTATTTAAATTTTTTTCTTCACGAATATAACAATAAAGCTAAACTATCCACTACTTGCATTACACGAGTTATGCACTATTTGGAAGTATGAATAATTGAAGAAAAAAAGAAGAAGTGCGTAACCTAATTATTATAATTCAAGAACAAATTTGTATCTTCAATAAGAACAAAAATGGCTTCCGTAGAATAGAAATATCAAAATCTCTTATTTATAGGTAGGATTTGTAATTATAATGGAATTTAGTATATATACTATGCCGTTAAAATCTCTTTAAATCCAAAGAAATAACTAATCCTAAACAATTAAAAACAAAATGTATAACTTGTGATTTTATGAGATTTAAAAATTCTAAATTGAATACATCAGAATTTTTATCAGAATTTTTAAAGTCTTTTCAAAAGTCATTTAAAATCTAAATTAAATTTCTCAAAATTTTTTAAACTTTTAAAAAGTGTCATCATTTAAATACTCATATTTCCTTATAGCAAGATGAGGAAGACAGACGGAACAAACGACAAGATGGAGATTGTGTGGCAAACCCCCTCAATTCATCCTCAACGCCGCGACTACATTTTCCGAGACGGTAAAAGTTATTGTAGATCGAAATCTCAATACGTGAACTCATAGTTTCTGGTATTGGGTGCTATTGAGTATTTCCACTTACCACTGAGTTCAAGTGTTTCTATTGAATATTATGCAGGCATAAGATACGTACGGCCCTACTATTTTGAGTTCGTTTCACATGTGAGTGAGTGTACATTCGTCTGTTTAAATTTGTTTATATAGCTGCTTTATCAATGTGGAGAGCGTAATTTTGGGTGTGGAATATTCCTTTTTCTTTCTTTTGTGGGAATTTGGGTGCAGGCTAAGAACAGGTGGGCAGGGAAGACGATTGTTGATTTGTTTGCCGATGAATTTAAAGGGCGTGACCGCCATTATTATGTATGTGTAACTTTTTGTTCCTTTTTTCCTTGATGTGCTTAAATTGTTATAAGCTGTAGCCATGGGTTATCTTATATCGTCTAAGTCCTAATGATATTGTTTGGCCTGTTGTGTGCTCTTAGTATTTGCATGATACGTCTTGTGTGCTTGTGTTGTATGGCTATTTTGCTGTGAATTGTGCATTTTTTCGTGAGTGAGAAGTAAAATAAAATGTATGAGTTCTCCAGTTTGTATACTTTTGAATTTTTAAAGTTGAAGGAGCTCTTGATTTGTGCTGGTACAATTATGTAGCTACAGTTGTTCTCTTGCTATCTTTGACGGTTGTGTAATTATTGACGAAGAAACACGGATAAGATCTAAGCATTTGCTAATCCTTGCTAGAAATACTGTAGACTTCCAGACTTATTTATTTATTTTGGTGAATTCTCTTAGTCAACACTTTTTAAATCGGGCATTTTTTTATGCTATTGTTCTTATGTTCAAGTCTATTTGATCAAATTCTAGCATGCTTCTGTAAATGAAATGTTGACCGAAATGATTCCTGAGTTATCTTCTGAATGTAATATGGTTCCACATGTATGGTGTAATGTGCTGGAAGTTTTGCATTCATCTTTTCTGCTGTGTGAAAAAAGTAACTGTTATATGTGCATGCCCATAATTCAACATTTTTTGTTTCCTCACGTGTGTTGACTAAAGGATATTCTGATTCAAGCTATGAACAAATTCCTTTCTCTATTGTGCCCTCATCGACATCCTCTTATGCTGAAATTTGAGCCTCCATATGCATTATCCACGCATAAAATAATTATGACTATAATCTTTGGTTGATATGTTCTGCTGCTGGGAGATCTGTTTGTATAACTTCATTATGGTTTTAGGTATTGGTAAAGGCAAAAAAGTGGTGGTTTTATTGGTTCCATATATTCTTTGACATGCATACACAAAATGTGCATTCTGAACACTGTTCTCCAGTTCAAGTCTTTGATGCCCTAAGTGGACTATAGGTGTCTGCAGTGAAGGCTGGACGTATACAAGTTGATGGACATATTGTACCCGTATCATATGTAGTTCAGTCATCACAAAAGATAAGCCATTTTTTGCACAGGTTTTTACTCGCACTCTTTTTCTTCGCATGCTCTGAGTAGGTTTACAACCTTTTTTTTTTCCTTTTCTTTTATTCTTTCGATTGAATATTGAGAAGTTTAATTCTCTTATCCTGTTGACTTGTACTATGATGACTGTCCTCTTCTTTTTATCTGAATTTGCTAATGACAATAGAGTAACTGACATACTAAAGGCTGTAGGCACGAACCCCCAGTTATGGCGAACAATATTCAGATTCTCCATAGTGAGCCGGATGTCTTAACTGTCTGTAAACCTGCATCAGTTCCTGTAAGTTTGAGTTCCATAAGTTAATTACTGCTAGTTGCATTAATTTCCAGTACTTTGTCTGCCGCCCTTGTCAAGAGTTGAATCCTTTCACTTTCTTTTCTTTTTTCTTTTTTCGTAAAATGATCAATAATTTAGTTGCCGCACAAATTTTGGATATATAATGGTGTTCCCATTGAGTGACTTTTAGGTCATTTTGTTTGGTTTTGTTAAAGCAAAGAATTCGTCTAGACACTGCGTGAGCATGTATCCATCCGTCCTAATGCCATTGTTCCAAATGTTATTTGTACTAGAAGGTGGAGTCGTTAGAGCTAAAGGGGTTTGTTTAGAAGTTTCTCCACTTTTAAGTCGTAAGTTTTATGTCATATCATGTATCTTCTTGGACATGAACTGTTTAAAGGTTGTTATCCTTAATTTTCTTTTCCCACACTCAATTTCCCAAGCAAATCGGTTGATGATCTGACTAAGATCAGGAAAAATTATCTATCCACATTATATATGTGTGAAAAGCCTTAGAAGGACTGTCATGCTAATGCAGTTTTTCTGATCTCTTTTTGAGAATATAAAATTAGCTGTGTGCTAGCTCATATTTCATTGGAGTTACTATTTTCATGAAAAGAACTACACAACCATCAAAACAAGGATACAAAAATAATATTTCCTTAAATACCTTAGATTCTCTGTGAGGGATACTTTGATATTATTCATCTTACCATCTTCAGAAGAACTTAAGTTGAGGGTCCAATGTTAATAGAATGAGTTGCCATTTGCTGCAGGCTGGATTTGATCATTTTTATTAAAGGATATGAGAGCACAAGATTGTGCATCGATTCTGTAATTGAGCTGGAGGTTAAATTATCACTTATTGTGTTTGTCCGACAACTCTTTTTGGTTTTTTTAATATTCTATTAACGTCAATTATGATCAAAAGGAAAGAAATGTCATCATCTTAGGAGGTTGACACACTTTGTTAAACTGATAAGACTTAGCCGTGGACAGTTCGTTTTGGATCTTTTTGCCATATTGCCCATTAATATTTAACCACATCATCTCATGCTCAAGGTGTGAAATGTCGTCTCTTTGTTATAATATAGGTACCAATCACCTCTGCTATTGGCATTGAGTTCTTTTAGTTCACATTTTTTTTTGTTAATTTCAAAATCACGATTAATGCACTGCAATATTTCTATTTGTATGTGATTAAGTAAATATTGTCATCCTTGTACTCTTTAAGTTGAGACTGACATTGCTTTTTCTCAGTCTCTCAGAGTGTTTTCATTCGTGAAAATTCTTTTGACATCTAAAGATCTGCTGAAAATTATGTTCACTAAAAGTAACCTAGATGGGCTTTTGTATATCAAGGTGCATCCGTGTGGGCAGTATCGGAAGAACACGGTTGTCGGTATACTTCAAGCGGAGCATGATTTGGCACCATTATTCCGTATCCTACTTTTACCTGGCTAGACTAGTAACTGCTCCATCCATCCCACAAGCATAGGTTTGATTGCCTTTTTCCTTTTTGTCCCACTAAAATAGGCCAATTTCCTTGACTAGAGAAGTTAAAATACTAAATATAATCAGAAAAATGTATTATGTGTATCTTAAACTTTGCATTATTATGTACAAAATATAATCAGAAAAATGTATTATGTGTATCTTAAAGTGTATATTAGGAAAACACACTCCTAATTATCTATTATTAATCTGTGAGAACAAGTATCCCATTTTTTGTGGGTTGGAAGGAGTTACAATACGATACATTTGATTCCGTTCCTCATTACCAAATGCTCAAATTTTTAGTCTTACACCTTAATTCTTGCTAATGTACCTTGTGTGTGTGGTATCCTTGACATAGTATTATCAGCGATTCATCGGTTGGACCGTTTGGTCTCTGGGCTTCTTATCATTGCCAGAAGTGCTTCAAAGGCTGACATTTTCAGGCAACAGGCAAGCATACTCTTGTCTTGTTGTTTTGCTGCTAAATGATTAAAGTCCAGTTGAGGGAAATTGTTAGATGAATATTTTACATTCGTTTAAAAGTATTTGGTTAGTGTCTATAAAAATCTATAATTTGTATTTGTATTGGATGACCATCTCATATAAAATTTTAGGCTATAAGAGAGAGAGAGAGAGAGAGAGAGTTAGAGAGTTAACCTTTAATTACTCTTAGGATGGCCTGTGCTGGGCTGCTGGTAGTATAATTTTTCTGAAGCCCGTCCTGGCATTTTGATTTTTAATTGACAGATTGAATCAGGAGAGGTGAAGAAACAGTATATTGCAAGGGTAATTGGAGAATTTCCTGACAATGAGGTAATTTATTCTCTTTCTTTGTGTAATTTGTTTTGTTCGTTTCACTAAGTCTGTCCTTGTTGTTTCTTTAAATTCATTTTCAGCAAATAGCTAATGCAAACGTCAACTACAATCACCGTGAAGGAAAGAGCACAACAGAGGTGTGGAATTCTATTCCTCATTTCTCTTTTGTGGTTTAGCAGTCCACTTTAAGTAGCGGAATATAGGCTTATATAATGTAGGTTCCGCAGAAGTTTATATCTGTATGAGGCATAAATTTATATTGACGTGCCTGCTTGACTGTCCAGTGAACCTTTCTTATCTCTCCTTGGCAAAGAAATTCAGTTTGCTAAAGAACAGTAAGACCCTTGATGACCTGCAAAATGCTAAGCCCGGATTTTACTTTTGTCAGCTGTGATCTTCATTGACCCAACACTTGTATTCGTTGCAGTGCAAAATAATGTACAATACATTACATGTACAAAAGTGCTCTCCCATTACTATCTGGATTGCAATGGTAAAAACGTGTTTCCAATAGGCTGCATGAACAAAAGAGTTTTTTCTAAATAAAAATATTACTGGAAACCTGCATCTCCAGACGCCTTTCATATTTCGTACAGTAAGCTGCTTTCCAGAACCCGACAATATTTTATCTCAAGCGAATTGTCTCAGAAGTTCTATAGCTTCCTTATATAATAGTTCCTTTGGCTCTCGTCATCAATTAGCAAATTGAGGGTCTGGCCATATTATGCTACTGAGACATCTGCAGGTCATTGATGATGGTTTTAACGGGAACAATGCTTCTAAGGGCAAGGTTGCTTGTACAAAATTCACCAGAATAAGCACTAATGGAACAGAAAGCATCGTTTTGTGTGAGCCAATTACTGGCAGGACGCATCAGGTAATACAATATAGAGACATTGCCTTTGTATTATTCTGTTTAGAAGACGTTCTCATGAATGCAAGCGTTGTATGCCTGCAAAAACATTAGCTTGAGATAATTTAGGACAGTACTTCTCCCAAACCCGTTATATTATTTAACTAAAAATCTGAAATCTACATCAGTCTATCCGAGTCTATCTGTATAAATATATATACACTTTTTTCATATTACGGCTTTGCTCCAAAGACTCTTTAATACCATGGCCGACACTCGATGGCTTATAATGTGCATAAGATATTCTTTGTTGTTGAATTTTTTTGAAACAGAAATTGCCCCCCTTTTTTTTCCCCAGATACGTGTGCATTTGCAGTTTTTGGGGCATCCTATAGCTAATGACATGCTTTACATGTCTGAATGTGTTCCTCTACGTTCGACTGAGGGATCGAGTGCAGACAGAGCTGCAAATAATTCATGTCCTTTTTTCATAGATGAGACTGTTGAAGATTTTCCTATTGATCCTATGTGTACCAACTGTCCAAATCTGGCGCCGAAAGGGTGAGAATTCTTATATTTACGTAATCAACATGTAATGCTTATCAAATACTATTAATGTCATTACTACTCATATCTCTTGATTGGTACTCAGTTTATTTCTGTTTAGAAGCTTTTCATTTGATTGTTATTAATGGTTGTTTAAGGCAAAATTGCATTTTTAGTTTGCTGGTTTAACGCCATAGCATTTTTAGTCCCACGATTTCAACTTTTTGTCTTTTGATCCTGTAATTTAGTATTTTGCTACAATTTCAATCCTTTGGGACTGTAATTGCACAAAAAATTCATCCCAAAGATTTTTTCTTAGCAATTTAAGTCCTGTAATTTTAAATTTTGTTTGGGACTGAAATTGCGATGAATTTTAAAATTATAGGACCAAATAGCAAAATTTTCAAATCTTAGGACTAAAAACACCACTGGATCAAACCAACATGACTAAAATTGCAATTTTGCCGTTTTTTAAACTATATGAAAGTTGAGTACGACTCCTTGCTTGTGCAGATATGATGGTCGTGAAGAAGGTTTATGGCTACACTGTGTTAGGTATTCTGGGCCTGGCTGGACTTACGAGTGCCCTTATCCTGACTGGGCATCAGTGAGCTAGTACATCTTGTTTACTTTTCCTATTTGTTCGATTAGCTATTATTGACTCAGGCATGATTTTAGAATGAAGGATATATTGACCTGGAAAATCGAATATGGTATGGCATGTTCAGAGATTGCTGAATTTTCTATTCCTAGAAGATCTTTGCTATTAACCAAAAAAAGCCCCTGTTTAAACATCGCCATTTTAGAAAATCACATTTTGTTCACATATGTTGGCTTTGTTGCATTCTTGCGCAATAGCTGTTATAACAAAAGTTCTCAAAGAAAGTGTCTTGAGAAACCTAATCGAACTTTTGTCGTACAATCTATCACAAGTCTCGTCTCTTGTGGGAATTATGATAAACGATTCCTTTGTCTGTCGCCAACTTGTGTTGAAGCAAACGGAGATTTGATATGTGGGTCAACCTTCAAGTTGATTTTTTTAGTTTATCTTTTATTTTTTCACAAGTCAATTCAACACTACCTATGGAATCTCAATATATTGGGAATTTTCATTTAGTTGCTATCTATTTTGCCTACGGATTCTTGCTTTGGAATGGAAATTGCTTGGAGCAAGGGATTGTGAGTGTGCTTCAGAATTTGCACAATTGAGATTGTAAAGTTACACCAAGTTGGTGAACTGAAGAAAATGGAGACTTACAGAAACCCATTTTGGTCGGTTTCTACTTTTACTTATGCAACATGAATAAGTTGGTGGTGTAGTCAATAGTGATGTTTCTAATTTGATTACCTTTAAATATTGTGCCTGCCATGCCTGAATAAATATCTTTAGATATTTATGAAAGCATTCTTTTGGTTTAAAAAATAAAATGTACTNTTGAAATAATATTTTTTATAAGTAAGTAACTTCAACTTACTATTTAATGTAAAATTATAATCAAAGTGTAGTAATATTATATAATAAATTAGTTTAAAATTGTTATTACACTTTATTAATGTAAACTGTAACGTTTCAACATTATTAATTGAAAAAAAGAGCGAAAAAACTATGAAGGTTTTATTTAATGAATTTGTCAGAAATTATATATATATATATATATATAGATTTTAACCCGTGGATAGTTATTTACATTAATACTTTATCCGAATTGCTTATTCAGATGAATCCACCTTCTATGAATATGAAGGTTCTTCCGGATTGATCATCGGTCGAGCTACAATAGGTTTAATGATTCATCTAGTGATTGAATTGTTGTTTAATTTAATACTACTTTTATATATTTTATATTTTCATTAGATAATATTTCTATATATAAATGTAACTAATTAAATATATAGATCGTTTAAAATATTCAATGACTAAACTAATGATATATATGTTTATACGTATCCAATACAATATATTTAAATGTTTAATTTTATTTTATATTAAACATTTATATAAGTACATTAAAAGTAAAGTTTTAAACAATTAAAATTTTGAGACTTGTTCAAATGCCTGCTTTTGGGCAGTTTCACCTAGGGTTGTTATCGAATCGAACTGAACCGAATTGGACTTAAGGTTTTCGAGCTCGAGTTTGATTAGTTTTTTAACATGTTCGTGTTTGTTTGTTTACTATTTGAATAAAAAATTTAGTTCGTGTTCGTTCGTTTATATAGTCGAACTTATTATTCGACAAGTTCGTGATCATGTTTGTTAATTTTTTTTTTTTTTAATTTTAACACCATACAATTTATTTTATTTAATATTTAATATATATCCATATTTATATATTATATTATATTATATATGTATATATATACTATATATAATACATAAAATTATAAAATACCTTTTTGTTCGCGAGCACAATTTCATGTTCGAGTTCGGTTCGATTACTAAACGAATGAGCTATTATCGAACACGGACAAGCTTTGTTCGCGAATAGTTCGATTCAATAACAACCCTAGTTCCAGCAAAATTGACCAATTAATTGATCGATTCCTAGCGCCCAACCAACTAGCTAGATTGGTTCAAATTTTAAAACTATAGTTTTAAAATTGAGAAAAGTACCCAATAAACTAATTAAAATATAAAATATTGCATATATACTAATATAATATTTTATTTGCAAACATTGCAAACATGACGAAAATATTTGCATCTGTCTAAGATACACATTTTTTTTTTAATAATAACCATTTTACAGATAATTTAAGAGATTGGTTTTTTCTTGGTAATTGCCCGATTTATTGGGATTTTAATTTTGAGCAATGCTATAGAGCCAACTTGAATGACAACGTAGGTTACAACTCAAGTGTAAATATAATACTATTTTTTAACTTTTTAATAATATATTTACATTTGGGTTGTAACCCAAATTGTCATCCAAGTAGGCTAAATAGCATTACTCTTTTATTTTTGTGACTTCCCATAACCATTTTTACCTTATCCCTCTGTCAAAAATCCTCCATGCGCACCTCCAATATTCTCATATACTTTACTCTTGACACCATCTTTATCAATCGATCTGATTATTTTTTTTCTTTTACCCCTTTCCTCATCGATGATAAAAAAAAAAAAACAATCACAGAAAAATGGCTAATGTCAATCTGATTATTTAAAAAGATTGAATGATGTCCGTTGATGACAATTTGTGGAAATGAAAATTGTGCCCTATTAATTTATTGATCATTACATAGAATTCAATTAAGATATTCTATAAAAGTATGAGATTGGACTAGAGAAAATTACACGCAACATATATTTTTGGTTAGTTGTATATATAAATAAATAATTAAATACAATTTTGGATTAAATAAAAAAGTGGTCGTACTTTGATGTGATTGGAATATGCGTATATATTGCCATTTACTTGTAGATGGGATGGGAATTGGATTTATGTACGTTTTTTTCAGTTTCAGTTTTAATCTGGGGTCACACAAAAAAAATTTGTATACGTTGGATCTATTTTTTGTACATGTTGAAAAATTTTTCGGCACACAATTTCATTTTTTGTCAACTTTTGTGGAGGTCAATGTTCTTTATATATAAGTGTAAAAGAAATAAATCTTGATAAATTGTAATTTTCAGAAATATCGTGTTGGGGTTAAAACATTTCCTGAATATCAAAGAACAAAACGTACATAAAAAAATCCTGATATAAATTGAGCGTTTTTATAGAGAGAGAAATAAAAAGTTCATTTATTAATGTTCTATATCAATCTTTAACATCACGATATTATTAATCCGATCGATACTCCATTAAATTTGATAGTGCCGTCAATCTTAATTATCGGTCTGATTTATTATACCGCGTACCGATAGCTAAAGCCATTAAAATGGGCCTGGGCCTGTGTGGTGGGCTCCCTTTTTTAGGCCTAACAAGGAGCGCGTCTAAACGGACCAGTCCGTGCAAGCGACAGTGGGGGTGGGACAGGGTTGGCTGCGTGATGCCCGCCAAAAATAAATATTTATGTATATAAAGAAAATGTGTGTAAATAAATACTTAACTTAGATAGAGTATTTAAAAGTGCTAAATGTCTATCGAGAATATATGCAATCAATAAGAAAATCAATTACATGTTTCAACAATTAAACAATGAGAATTAAGTTAATTCAAACTCTACATGATCAACATTCATTTTCAATAGATAATATTGATTCTTAATTCATATTAAGAGTGTCCAAATGTGTTCAAAGTTTAGACTTAATTTGTAGCGTACGTGTGTATATATATACATATGTGTGTATTTATGAAAACAAATATTGTGTGTTTAATAACTTTTTAATATTTGACAGTTCTGCCCCCGTCAAAAGGCGGGCTTTGCCTGCCGTATTGGTCTATTTTGACATCTCTATCGGCAGCCAGATCGATATGAATATTGTTAAATTTTTTAAAACATGGATCTATATGTCCAAATATAATATTTGAAACTATATTAAATAATAATTTAGGAAATGTAAAGTGTGAAATGATTTGACGAAGGAATCATAGGACACCGATTTGTATAGCGATTTATCATCAACTAAAGAATCGTATGACACACACACAAA